CCCCAAAACCCCAAAACCCCAAAACCCCAAAACCCCTTTTTATAATATTTATTAGAATAACCTTTAGGATGCAAAAATACGAGGAATCATGGATCTCAGAGCTATCAATCTGAATGTTGTGGAGACTAAAGCTCAATCAAAGTCTGAGCTGTATCGTCTCCTCAAGGTTTAGGGAAGGCTGTATCTTCCTCTACAAGATCAAACCAGCTTGAACTTCACCAGTAACCTTTGTTTCAAAGAGAAGAGAGTAAATCCCTCAAAGTTAGCCCAATCAACACCCTTTCATCTTGGCATTCAAGTGGAAGATATTAATGTATGCAGTATTCCCCACTTAAAAGGTCTGAGAGCGGACGACTTGACCAGCTTCACAGTTGCGGATTGTAGTGGTGAAGAGTGCCTGCAAATTAATTACAAGAAGTAAACCCCCAACAAGATTTTTTAGGCAACATCTGTATCAGATTGTTTGTTCTAATCTTTTTTAAGAAACACTTTAGACAAACAAGGCTTTCAGGATAAGATCAAAGATAATCTCAAGCTCAGAGAAAAGAAATTACTGGAAATTCATAACTTATCGATCAATATTGCTCCGATGTCCAAAGAGTCACAAATGGTTACCAGTATGCTTAGTCTTTTGCTCACTCTATATAATTGGAAAGGGCAAAAATCATAAGCTACTACATAAGAACATCCAAAAGAATGCCAGAGAGTCTGAAGAGCAGAAGCAAAAGAAGCTAGAGGAAGCTGCGAAGGCCACAAAGGAATTGAGAAGGGAGGTAGCAGATCCTAAGAACAAGATGGAAGAGCAAATAAGACTTTTAGATGTTCACCAAGAGGACAATCAGATTTTGAAGAACTTGCTCAAGGATGAAGTCATCGATGCCGATGGAAATCCAAAATTGGGGTTTCACTAGCCAGCTTAGAGTCTTTGGCTTTTGATGAGTTCTTTCATAGTGTTTTCAAGATCAAGCCTACCTAGTCTAGGCTGGGATTGGTTATGGATTTTCATGAACCCACTTTTTCTGTCTTCAAATAATTATTGGGCTGTGAACTTCAATATTGGAGTTAATATGGCCTGCTTAGGTCAAATTCTGAAGATACCATTATTTGTTTAAAATTTTATATATTAAAGTTTTTAGGGTTCTTATTAATTCTTATTTTCAACCTTATTAAATGAGTAAGGGGTTTTGGGGTTTTGGGGTTTTGGGGTTTTGGGG